GCCTGGGCTCCGCTACAAAGCAGGTGCTTACATATACTTGTAACAGGATCAAGTCGGGCTCAAGCTCAGGAAGTGGAAGGGGCAAGGAGGGTGGGAGAGAAGTGGAAGTGACCCCCCGAGTCAGCTAACCCTGGGTGGGGGAGGGATTCCCAAGATGACTGGCAATGGGTGGACACTGACACCACAGACCAAGCACCTGAAGGTCATTAGCCCAGAAGCCAGTGGGGTACGTCCCCACCCCTCGGGGGTCCCCCAACAGCTCTGGAGCCTTCTCTGAGCCGAGCATCCTTGCTCGTTAAAAGGTCAGACCACAGGACCCCAGTGCTCTCCTGGCCCGACCCCATGCCTGTGCTGCCCGCTGGCCTTCTGTCCAGGTGGCGATCAAACACGCCACCTCCTTTTGTCGCTGGGCAGCCCGTCTCAGTCCCACCCGAGGCAGTGGGCTTCACGCGGGCAGGGGCACTGTCCCCGCGCTGCCCATAGCGCACGCAGTCTTCCTGGGCTGGGGCAGGGACTCAAGGTGCGTGTCATAGGACAGGAGGGACGCGGTCCGTCCTCCTCTGGCCATCTGTCCCTTCACGCACACACCCCACCCCACCTGAAGGGGACGCCCAAGGTGGTCCTTCTGCACGCTGACTGGCAGCGGGTCACCCTGTGGGGAGCTCAGCGCTGGAGTTCAACATCCCCTAAGCTGGCCTCCAGGGCTTCTCAGGTGGCCCAGTGGTGAAGAAGCCACCTGTTGATGCAGGAGGCAAGGAGACCTGGGTTTGATCCCTGGGTAGGGAAGATCCCCTGGAGGAGGGCATGGCAACCCACTCCAGTATTCTTGCCTGGGAAATCCCATGGACAGAGGAGCCTGGCGGGCTACAGTCCATGGGGTCACAAAGGACTTGGACACGACTGAGCACACAGCATGCACGCAAGCTGGCCCCTGCCCTGCTCAAGATGAGTCCACAGATCCTGTGGTTGGAAGCACAGCAACAAAGTGCTATATACCACACCCCCTGGATTTAACTTCACATACATCATTTTTTCCCATATCCGTGCGTGTGTGTATCTATATAGTGGGAAGATCCCCTGGAGAAGGAAATGGAAACCTGCTCCAGTATTCTTGCCTGGAGAATCCCCATGGACAGAGGAGCCTGGTGGGCTGCAGTCCATGGGGTCGCAGAGTCAGACGTGACTGAGCGACTACCACACACGCATATAGTTCGTTCTAGATCTGGAATGTAGGGATTGCTTTAAAAGCAAGCACCAAGTCTGCCCGTGTAGCAGATCTGCTGGCTGCTACTGGCAGCGGGCACTCACTTGCCAGAGCCAGTTTACAGGGAAGTGATCCCAGGCGGTTTAGAACGTGAAGAAGCTCCTTCACGGCCACTGGGTGGGGGTGGGGGGGACCTTCAGACTACACTTGTGGGCAGGGGGCGATGGGGCCTCCAGGCACAAGTGTATCAGGTTTCCTCCTTCTGGAATGTTCGTTTCTGGATGGCCACCTCACCGCCTGCTTTGAACCCGGCAGAGAATTTCTTTTGCCAGGTGTGGCAATCAAACATGTTGAGAGAAAACAGGTGAGAAACGCTCTTTGCCACCAGCTTGAGAAGTGCCGTGATGCTGGGTTCACCAAGCAACTTTGAAAAGGCATCAAAGTGAATGACAGCTGTGGATCCAAGTGGAAGGTGAGCAAGGGGCCTGATGCCTGCTGGGTGGGAACAAAGGCGGGATCCGCCACTCAGTCGTGTCCAACTCTCTGTAGCCCGTGGGGCTCCTCTGTCCATGGGGTTCTCCTGGCACGAGTACTGGAGTGGGTTGCCATTTCCTTCTCCAGGGGATCTTCCTGACCCAGGGATCGAACCTGTTTCTCCTGCATGGCAGGCAGATTCTTCACCATCTGAGCCACCAGGGGAGCCTTTCTTACTTCCATACAGTAAAACCTTCTGTGTCTGCCTATCATCTCCGCCACACAGCCCGCCTTTCAATCAAGAGGAGACTTACTGAGCACCAACTACGTGCCGGGCCCTGTGTTAGGCTGGGACACGGCAGGTGAGAGTGGCTGCTCACCGTCTGGCTCCTGGAAGGCCAGGATGGGAGGGCCACTTGGGAGGTGAGGCTGCCACAGCAAATAGGCAGCGAGTCATGCTGCTATTTGAGGAAAGAACGCGCAGACAAGGCACACAGCAAGGCCCAAGTCCAGAGACCCACACGCAGCAAGCTTCAGGGAGGGCGCGGAAGCCGGGGGCCTGGAGCCCCAGGGGCAGAAGGTGGTGGTGAGGAGAGGTCGGGGGTGCAAGGCTGGACGACAGGGCACCACTGGTCCCAGATGGGAGAGCAAAGAACAGCTAGACCCCGTATTTTAATAACTGGTCCAGCAGCAGTGCTGAGGGCAGGCTGGAGGAGGGCCAGGGATGAAGGCCAATTCGGCCTTTTGTTTCTGCAGTCCAGGCGAGATAACGTGATGAGGGTGGAAGCAGTGAAAGATCCGTCAGATTCAGAAGTCTTTGAATGCAGAGGCAATAGGACTCACTGCAGAACTAAATATGGTGTGGAAAGGGGAAGTCCAAGGCTGGGGCCAGAACAACTTGGCGGAGAGGCGGTCGCCATTCTGGGGATGGACGCGTGGGAAACTCAACTGTGGGGAGGGCGTGTTCAGTATGAGCCACCCATCAGACATTCTGTTGGACATTCCCCGATCTGGTCCCCTCCTCCCTTTCATGTCTCTTCTAGACTCTGAGCCTGTATTCCAACCAGACCGCATTCCTCTCTTATTTCCTCAATATTCATGAGAGTTGTGTCTATTTTTTCCCCAGAAATACTCCGCCCTAACAAAAACTGTTCCCACCTTGACTTGAGCACCAGTGGTCCACTCCCATCAAACAAAAGCCTAAACGCCTGATGGGACTTCCAGAACAGGGTGGAAGAACACATCTGCACCCCGGTGCTGTCCTGGCCCTGCAGACACTTACAAACAGATGGGAAAGGTAAGCAGACGCGCCCTCCAAAGAGAATGGTAAACTCAAGGGGGTAAGGATGAAAAGCTCAGAAGAGGGACTTCCCTGGTGGTCAAGTGGTTGGGAATCCACCTTGAAACGCAGGGAATGCAGGTTCGATCCCTGGTTGGGGAGCTGGGATTCCCACCAGCCACGGGGCAACTAAGCCCTCATGTTGCAATGACTGAGCCAGGCTTCTCTCAACTAGAGAGAAGCTCGTGTGCTGCAACTAAGACCTGTCGCAGCCAAAAATAAATATTATAAAAAAAAAAAAAAAGCTCAGAACAAGCAAGCAGAAAATAGAATAGGTTCCTTAAGTTAGGGAATGCCTCCTGCAAACTGTAAACAGCATCTCCATTGGAAGAGGCTCCATTTACTGGCTGCCTTTGTTTCCTTGAGCTGGACCCCTGTTCTGAGCAGTGGGTCCCCTGGGCGGGTGGAGCAGGGAGGTGAGGAAGATGTGGTTTAAAGGAGAAGCTGCAGGTTAAGAACCTTTCATGGCACCAGACACACAGTAGGTCTTAATGGGCGGGCTCCCATCTGGAAGGGAGTATAGCCCGCCGTGACGTGTGTGTTCCTTGTTAGGGGCAAACACAAGCATTCATTCCGCTGCCCTGTATCCCCGAGAATGCCTTCACTCATTTTATTTGACAAACTACAGTATCTATCTACCTAGGGCCATCTCAACTTTTTTTTCCTCAATATCTCAGAAGCTCTCTGGAGACCTCCAGATCTTTATGATCTAAGTCCTTGGCCATGTTTTCCCCAGTTCTGAGTGAGTCGGCATCAGCTTTCGAGGAATGTGTGTCTAGCAGAGGAGCTGTTAGCACCTTCAAAGCACATTCACACCCACCCACCCCTTCAAGTGAGGGGCCAAGCCATCCTGGGCAGGGCAGAAACTGCCAAATGCTTTGTCTCCCAGCAGACTGCTTTGGGGAGCAGCGGGGAGCGGGGAGCGGGGTGGGGAGGCAGAGCCAGCAGCATCTCAGACCTCACAGACAAGGAAATCAAGACCACAGAGCCCTGCACTGCTTCAGCCAACTCTGAGGTTCAGAGAGCAACGCTGTCTTCAGAGGGAAGGTTCCAGTGCCCCAAGGGCACGTACCCTGAATTTAAGCTGACACCCCTTGGGGGGGGCATTGCCAATCAAAGTCATCCACCTACAGACTGTGTACAAGCCCCACCCAGGAAGCTCAGGAGAACCCTCCCCCGACACACAGACACTAGGGATCGGTCATGTTGGTACCTCCAGCTTCCACCCCCGCCCCCCACTCAGTCCAGGCAGGCAGAAAGGATTTCACTGTGTAATCTCAGCAGTGGGAACACTGACAAGCACACTGGGTCATTTCGATAATTACAGAGAAGTAACGGAATATTTTCGAGGACTTCCCAAGGAATGGGTTCTAGAAGCCTTCTCAGCCTGGGTACAGGAGGCCTCTGCAGATGATTCATGGGGATAAACTGGTTCCTTATTTTGCAGTGGGGCTCAGACGGCGCGAGGGGGAAGACCAGGCTGGAAGGGTAGAGACCTGGGTGTGAGCCCCATCTCTACCACACTGGGGGACCCTGGGTGTGCCATGAGTACTGGGTGTCCGCCGGGCATGCAGGGTCTCCCTCAGGGGGGCCCAGGCCAGCAGGACAAGTCGGGGAGCCTCAAGTCATCTCCACTTTACAGATAAGTAAACCGGGGCTCAGAGAGGCCAAGTCACCAAGCACCCCAAGGGTCAACGTCCGAGCCCCCAAACCCAGAGCCCTTCACTTGAAGGAAACTAAATCTGAGCCTCGGCTTCTCCGACGGAGAGAGAATTGGGCCTGGATACATCTGCAGCTGTCTCCCTTGGCTTCCGAGGTGTGGTCCCCGAGGCTGAAGGGGGCGTGGCGTCCTCGCCCCAGGCCGCTGGGCCGGAGGGGAGGGGGGTGCAAGGGGAAGGCTTCACCCCAGAGCTGGGCGGGTGGTCAGGGAAAGAACCGGCATCCGGGCGGCGGCCGGTGGAGGCGGGGAGGCGAGGTACTCACGTCTATGTTCCTTAGGATGACGCATTTGCCATTGGTGTAAAGAAAATTGTTGCCCTTGGGGTCGCCGCCGACGATTTTGGAGACACCCCTCTCCACCTGGGGGAGGCTGGCGAACACCTTCTCTGCAGAGACACAAACGCAGCCAGGCACCTAAGGGCCAGCCCCGCGCCGGGATGAGGGCGGAGGGGAGGGAAAAGGGGAGANGCGCCGGGCGTGCAGGGCGCGGAGTGGGGCGGGGGGGGCGGTCCGAGGCCGGGTCTCCGAGGCCGGCTCGCGCCCTGCCCTGCGCGCTGCCGCTGCGGACGCGCCGAACCCGGAAGCGCGGCCCCGCGCGCGCGGCTCGCCCCCCAGCTTTGACCATATATAGTCAAGCGCTCGGCTCGGCGGCTGCGGCTCCGGCGAGCCTGCGCGGACCTGGCCGTCGCTGCGCCCCTCCCCCTCCCCGTGCGGGCCCCGCCCAACGCGCGCCCGCCTCCGGAAGTGACGTAGATCGCGACCGCGTGAAAAGGCGGCGCGGTCAGCTCGGAGGCCTCAGAACGCTTCTGTGAGCTGTCGGGTGAAGATTTCACGGCTTGGGTAGTTGGGGGAAGGGTGGGCTAAGGAAGTTGGGTTTTTGGGGGGTTTTTTGGTGAAGTTTTGCCGACGCTGAAATCACTGGAGCGTCAGGATAAGGCTTGTGTTTGCGTAGCGGGCGTTTACCTAGCTGCCAGCCTTCCGGCCCAGTGGGCGTCCTGCTTGGGTTTTGCAAACACAGAGGAGTACTTTTTCTTGCTTTCTTCTTTAAAGCATGACTAACTGGCAGTCGGCATTCCTCGCAAAAAGCAGCTGCAGGAGGAGTTTTACGGATGTGCTTTGCGGGGCCCGAGCTCTCGTAAAAACTTAGAAAACTAGGGTCTCAAGAGCAGAGGGGAGGGATGTAGGTTCTAAAAAAAAACTAGTACTTGTTTCCTAATGACAGCAGAAGAGAAGGGGGAACTTCCACTTGTAATGCTGAAGCAGCGGCTCGTTGGTTGCTAGGGGAAAAGCAAGTTGAGATGTTATTTGGAAACTCATCTTTCACTGTCGGGTACTGTCTCTCGGGATTTGCAGGGACGGGGGGAGGGAGGGTAACGTAAAGTCAGAAACCTCAGGGTGATCCTTGATTTTTCTCGAACCTACTGGGAAAATTTTTTTATGCTTAACTCTTATTCATTTGAAGCTTTAAAAGAGTTTTCAACATATAAAAATAGAAAAAACATTACAACAAAGATCTTGGCGTCAGACATAGGAAGCGATGTACTGATCATAAGGAATTGCGGTGGAAGCTTCCAGAGTGAGGGTGGTCAGTGTGTCTCTCTGCCAGGCCAAGCCTGTGCGACCTCCCGGGGGCCATGCTACCCTGGCCTCTGGCGCTCTTGGGAAATCTTCCGGAGTTGTAGGGGACATGGTACCTGGGTTGGCTCTATTTTTGAATTGCATCCAGGTTCATTCCTTGTGTCTTTACTGAATAGCCCTAAAGAGCTCTGAAGGCGCACCTGCGTGAACACAGGTGTGTCCTATCTGGTCTCTAGGCATTTGCTGCTCTTGCCCTGCCCCACCTTCACCTGTCTGCTCTTCAGGCTGCAGCCTATTTTAAAATTGAAAATGTCTGTTCCTCACTCTCAAATCTGTAGGTGCTCGGTCTCCAAGTTGAAGCAAAAGTCATGAAAATGGCTTACTGAGCTCTATGTGCTAGATCTCAGGTTTCCATGAGACTATCTTCCTCTCTGCTTTCTGCTCTGTTCCCTATTTTCTGCAGCACCCCAGCTTCCTGCGTGTTCCACGAATGCCCCAGCCTTGCTCTTGCCTCCAGGGCTTCTATAACCTCTGTTCACTACCTGGAATTACTCAAAAGTACTTAAATGTGAGTGTCCTTTATTCAGGGAAACCCCCCCCCTACCCTGACCACCTGACTGGCTCTAAACCTTCCAACCCCTACAAATACCTTTCTGATACTCTGGTCCCTGTTATCTGGAGTGTGTCCCTGACAGGGTAGATACTCAAATAGCTGACCCCAGACCCCATGTGCAGTCCTCAATTAAGAAACAGTGGCTGTGAAAAGTAGTTTTGTGAACTGAACCACCCTAGAGATGTTGCCAGAACAAAGGGAAAACAAGTAATCTACAGGTGGGGGCTGTAATCATTTGAGAATTGGGACTGGGATTAAGATCAGCTGTGGTAACTTTTGGCCCCTCAGGCATCTTTGTAACTGAAGGACTGACTCTAAAACTAAGGCATTAACCTCAAGCCCTTGAAAGCAGATAACCCTTGTGCATGGGGGTAAAACCTTGTTGGACTCATAAATGAGACGATGCAGTAAACTTGGAGCTAAATTCCAAACCCCTAGCAGGAGGGCTAGGCTCTATAGCTTAGGAGGAAGTTAAGTTGGTCTGGGGACTTGAGTTTGGATGGGTGTTACGGATGCTGGCCTCTGCTATAAAAATCATGTCACAGAAAACATGACTTGGCAGGGAGTTGCAGGGGTTGGAAGGAAGAGAAGGGACACGGGGTGCTCTTTGCCTGGGGTGATCCCAGCTTGGTTCATCTCCACTGTAAGGGCGCAGCAGTCCTTGAGTTGGTGTCAGCTGTGACTAGCTGTTACTAATCCCTTTAATACAAGTGTTAATGCACTCTTGGTCTCCGGTGGGGACCCTGAAACGACTGTACCCCAGTCTGTGATGGCTGTGTCGCCCAGCCACTCCTGAGCCCCTCATTTCTGAAACTGCCTTCCTGGCACCTCGGGAGTGTCCTGGAGACACCTACTAGGACTAGACCTAATGCCAACTGAGACCAGACCACCTCACCTCCCACTGCACGAGACAGCTCCTCCGAGCTATCCCTTCCTACAGCAATCAGCAGCCCCATCTCTGGCTGTAGTGGCTAGAAAACGCATTTACCCACCCACAACCGCCACATTCAATCCTTCACCAATCCTTTACCTGGACTCTTTGGATGCCCGAATCTCTGGTTAATATCCTGCCATCTCCCCACTCTGGTCTTTTTTCTCTCCATAGAGAGCAACAGCCTCTCTAGGCCCTAGGGCGCCCAGACCCAGCCTGGCTCTCAAACTGCTCTCACCCCGGTTCTTCCAGCTCTGGCCACTGGCTCAGAGCCTGCCTTGGGGTTTCTGTACCTGTTTCCAGGATTTTCCTGATACCTCAATTTTAAGGCCAGAGTTCATGAAACAACTTTTTTTTTAACCACTTGGGAGCAAAGCCCTGTGATGTGGGAACAGTGGTCGGAAGTGCTTTCTTACGAACACCCACACCTCTGCCTGGGGAGACTTCCAACTATAGATAATGGGTGAGATGACCCCTTCCTTAGCAAGTGGCAGTCAGCTCCGAAGAAGAGCCTTGCTCAGACTGGGCAACCCGCCAGACCACGGCCCCTCACTCACTCTCGCCAGCCCAGCTCCTCTGTCCATGGGATTCTCCAGGCAAGAGTACTAGAGCGGGTTGCCATTTCCCCCTCCAGGGGATCTTCCCGACCCAGGGATTGAACCTCCGTCTCCTGCATTAGCAGGCTGACTCTTAACCCCACTGAACCACCTGGGAAGCCCAAACTGTACGTAAATAGCATTTAACATACGATGCTGTGCCTGCTGGGTTAATCCAATTTGCCTGCCCTACCGACACTGTAAACATCACAACAGGGACCACGTTTTTGCAATACTTAGAGCCCACCAGATTAGCTAAGGGAAGCTGCTGATCTGCACTCTGGAGAGAATGAATCATGAGAGCCTCACCTGAATCCACATCGAATTCCTAAGTGTGTAAAATGGCATCTCTTAAAAACACACCCTTTGGGGCAACTCCTTCAAACTTTCTCCAGGAAAAACCCGTAGGCTGGCTTTGGGGGAGACTGGTTGCAGTTTCCTGAGTTGGGTAACTTGGAGGGAAACCGTTCATTTGGCTCCAGGTGTGTGTATGAGGAGGCCTTACCGCTCTCCAATTCTGCCAGCTGCTTTGTAATTTAAAAGGGTGGGGGGCGGCGGCTCATAACGTGTGGCCCTGATGTGGAATCCAGAGTCGTGAAACACCTCGAAGGACACTCAAAACATGGGAGTACAGTTCATTATGCTAGCGGGTCCAGGGGGAATCGGTTCCCAACAAGGACCTGTATGTTTCTGAGACTGTTTTATACCCCTTGCTATGTGACTGGTTACATGTTAGCAACCTCTTTGTTGTATATGACTGAGTTCTACAACAAGCAGGTGCTAGCAGAACAAACAATTAAGGTAAAAGGCGGGGAACAGTGATTATACATCACAGGGATGTCTCTATGGTTAAATCTCACAGGGGCAGCCTGACCTCAACTGCAATCTCCATTTGCCATCTGTAGGGAGGGAAGTCTCCGGGAGAGCTGGTTTTTTTAGCAACACTTTTCCTCATTGTTGGGCAGAGTTCGGTCCCAGTTCACATCCTGTCCTTAAGACGGATGATAGGCTTCAAGATGGAGTCGCTCCTGCTTCTCATAGTGGCCCCAACAGCCCTACAAGTTTCCACCTCACCCTGGGCATGCTTGACCTCAACCCTTATTGTACACGAGCGTGCAAGTGGTAGTCGGGTCTAGAAGAGCCTGGATTAAAGCAACCTGAAAGGCTGTGGCCACTTCCCGCCCTCTCTAGCCCAACTCCACAGCATCTTGACAAGGCAGAGATAGGGTAGCACACACACTCAGTTGAACTCTTAAATTCTGTGTGCATGTATGCTGAGTCGTCAGTCTTTGCGTCCCCATGGACCATAGCCCACCAGGCTCCTCTGTCCGTGAGGTTTCCCAGGCAAGAATACTGGAGTGGGTTACCATTGCCTCTCCGAAGTGGTCTTCCCAACCCCCAGGGATTGAACCTGTGTCTCCTGCATTGGCAGGCAGATTCCTTATCACTGAGCCACCTGGGAAGCCCCCAGCCCTTGTTGCCTCCTCCCGAAATCGGATGTGTACAGGAGATGGAAGGCTGTTTTCAGCTTTGGGGAGAGACAGGAGCAATTGGACGGGTGTTCCAAACTCCTGCTTGCCCACTTTCAATCCTAGTGTTCTCATGTCCAGGCTCCTAAGGAAGGGATCTGCTTTCTTCTGTCCTGGGCGCCCCCCTGCAAGAGGGCTCTGTGCCAGCTGAAGGAATGAACATGGGG